GTATCTGTATGTCTGTGTAAAAATCTTGAAGCTACCCTTAGTTGTTTAATAAAAAAATAAAAAATTAAATTAGATTTTTCCTTTAAAAGAACAGAGACTTATTCACTACATACTTGTGAGATATAGATCTATACACACACACATACTCTATTTAAAATCAACATATTTAATATTTATAATAATGTCGTCAAGTGCAAGATAGTAAGAATGGAGAAAGTAAAAAACATTGCTTTATTGATTGCTTCTGGACTATAAATTGCAATTTCTTGACAGATTCCCTGGGGATAGTTTGAAGGTCATACATATCTAAACTAGGTGAGTTGTCTTGATCTCTTCAGCTCAAACTGAATTATGTACTCCTAATTAAGATCTTTTCTAATATTGTGTGTTAATGTCATGCAACGCTATAGAGTTGAAGAGTTTTACAGAAATTTAGCTTGACTTGCAGTATAGGAGAACATGTAAATACTGGTGTTCTTTGTAGTGCACAACTGCAAGTAACTGGAGTGAAATTGTATAGAAAATCTGCAATTTTTTTCATCAGTTGCACTGCTGTTATTCTCATCCCTATAATTCATGGCTGCGAAAAATAAATAGGGTATGACACAAACAGAGGAGACAAGGGGATTTCCTAATAGACCAGGCTCAAAAAAGCAAATCAAAATGCCTAGTCTGTAGAGCACTTAGATGTATTCCCCTTCTGATAGATAGATTTTTTTTTATATATATATATATATATATATATATATATATATATATATATATATATATATATATATATATATTTTTTTTTTTTTTTTTTTTTAAAGTGTGTGAGGGGGTAAGCAACAGTGTAGCTTTCTATTACTATTCATTTAAAACCAGATAAAAAAAAATCCCCTGGTCTCACTGTAGTAATGCTCAAGTGGTGACGATTTTTCTCTCAACCTTGTCCACTTTCATATAAGGGTATGAGACATTTCATTCTGAATTGGGGTTAATTACAGCAGCCTGAAAAGTTTCAGACATCTGGAAAATGCTTTTATCACATGCAGGACAGGATGGATATATACCAACTACTGGGCTCATGTGCATAGTCTGCATGTTACAAGGAAATCCCTGAGGGTTGTTTTTTCTCTACACACTGAAGTTCCCTGGAATAATGACGACACAATCTCACACAACTTACATCTATGGGCAGCAGGCAGTGTCCATAATACTTAGCTGCCAATAAATGGAGATAGAGTGTGTGTGTTGCACTATATTCTATAGCACTATAGCCCACAGATAACTAACATGTAGCTTTCCAGCTATTCTTCAAATCATATGATGAGGTTTGCTGGGCATATTGGGAACTGTAGTTCAGATACAGCTGGAGAGCAGTCTATTGGATAACATACATGTTTCCTCATGCAGAATGCTACATATTAGAATATCCTCGGTTTACTGCGATTCCCGATGCCACATTAATTCTATACACACACACACACACACACACACACACACACACACACACACACACACACTACAGTGCTTACACACAATAGTTATGTCAGATACACATTTATTTTTTGCACTGATAAAAATGGAAAATAAGCTTTATAGTATGCAAGTATACAAAGCCTGCATTTTCTACTTCATACTTACAATGCACAGCCAGTACATCAGAAAAGGCACATTTTCCTATACATGACACCCAGTGCAGTAGTAGTATTTTACCATACTCGGTGCATTCTATCCCACACACCAGGCTGCACCGTGCAGTTTTGTGTAATATTCAGGGAATTGTGCCAGCCAAGCACATCTCAAACGTGTAATCTGTAGTAAAGCTCCTCACAAACAGTGTGTTACCAGCACTCACTGTCTATACACAGAGTTATCACGGTGTTATCAATAAATACAATATTCCACCCACAGGTAATTGTTAATTCCTGTCTACACATATCACTGAGAGACTTGTTATGTACACAGCAGTCCGGCAGTACACCAGTCGGGGCATACACACATTATATGAGCATATTATACAGATATTACACACTATTAAAGCAGCAAGCACTATTTAACCCCTTTACACTCCATGTACACCTATCATAATCCCACAGGAAGAGGAGAGTAGGGTGTCAAGCACACTGACAGGGTGGGCTGATACACTTCATACATGTCCCTGGACTCCTGCCTCGCACTGATGGGAGTAGTGATAGTAGCAGCACTCACCTGTGCAGCCGCTGAGTGCCAGCCCGGGCTCTGCACACTCCCAGCTCCCCTGGCTGCTAGACATCTCAATGTGCCAGAGTGTGCACGGGCTCCACAACTCTAACCTCTCATCCAATCAGGAGCGTCCTAACACAAACTCACTTCCAAGCGCCTCTTGGGGATTTTTGCGCTGGCGATTTCTATAGGTCAGGAGCGGGAGGGCGGCTGATTGGCTGTGCAGCAGCTGGGATATGTTGTTAGTAGTCTTGCTGCTACACTGGACTTTCAATGGGCTGCATGCAGCGCGCTGACTTTGCAGCAAACTCAGCGCTGCGGCTACTGAATGAAGCTGAGCTGTGTAGCAGTAGCAAGGCAATACCTTCCATGCAGGCACTCTTCCAAAATGACACCACAAAACCAGTGATTCATTATTAATGATGAAAAAGCATCTGCTGCAAACCTTGAATGAAAAAAAAAATACAATCTGATCTAATGCACTTTATAGCAGTACTGAGAATAGAATCCCTGTGGTGGAATTACCCATTCAGCTTTATTTTTATTAGCGTTCCATCCTGTGTTCTACATTAATGCAGGCTTCTTCTGTCAGATCATCACTCTGATTCTGATATTTGTTTCCCTAGAAGAGTTATTCACTAAAGTAAGAATTCAAAGTGAATTTCAAATTTCAAGTTAAAAATAGCCGAACTGGGGATGGAGCTTGGCAGCCAAGCTGAGCGGCTGCACATTAGACGAGCTCCGGGCTAAAGTGGGCAAAAACGCGACAAAAATCCTGCAAACGACGCACTCCATGCCTGCTTTTGAGCCCCAGAGACAGGGGTCCACGTCTACAGCGATGCACAATCAGGTCTTTGTCCAGAATCGGCGGTTGCGGCCGTGGGATAGATCTGAGGCCTACATGGGGTCTACCCAGAAGGCACGAGGGAAGCAGCCGATCACTCCAACGACTGCGGCCTACATCACAGACGGTCTCCCCGGCACACTCCATTCCCCCCCCTGCCGGAGAGGGATATCCCGGCAACGACAGCCTGCAGCCCGAGACAGGGGAACCAAAATCGGCTTACCTGCACCATTGGACCAACGATGCACAAAATGGCAGACGCCATAAATTACCCAGCACCTGGGCCCCCGCTGCCCTCACTATCGGAGCAGCTTGACCATCTGCTTGCTGATTTTTGGGCCAGGCTCTCTACCCGCAGGTGCACCTTGGTTGAAACCCTGCCGACTGCAATCCCACAAAACTCCGAGGAGCAGAATGCAACTCTGGGACGTGCCTCAGTAGAGAATTGGAAAGCGGGAAGAAGGAGACGGGCTGGTAGACGACAGCCCCAGTATCTTAATCGCCGACCAGTGGTGGGTCACTCAACGCCTCAACATGGACTCACCACATGATCACCCCCTCAGCTCCCCTTACCTCACCAATTTGCTCAAAGAAGGGGAAGAGTGCGGTACCCACAAGGAGGAAAGCACCAGAGCCACCTCCGGTCTAGCCCAAACCCCCTACACGCTACAGGGACTGGTCCGAAAAAGCTACATACCTCTGTGCAAACACCCACATGGAACACCCGCACACTGCCTCCCTGGGAAGCCTGGAAGCAGTCTCCATCGACTGAAGGGGTCCACAGACTCGCTCCCCGCCCAGCACCAACCTTGCTACCTACAGGGGTCTGATGAATGGAGAAAAGGGCCCCCAGAACGTGAAATGCTTGACCACACACTGACAACACTATTTACCTGTGGCAACACTACCCGAGTGACCCGTGATACATGATTAAGGCTTAATTTAAGTGTTATGTTTTTCTTTTTCTTTTTTTCCTCTCTTTTCACATTTCCCTAACCATACTCTTAAAGCATGTGCAATAAGGTGAGGAGCAAATGGGGCTGACATCGGTAGTTCAACTCGTTAACCTAACTATGTTCATGTTTAAGTATGCAGTGGTTATGATGATTAGCAATAGTGAGCGAGAGCCATGAATCTAACATCTGAGATAGGATACCCGAAATAGTAAGCAATCTGTCCAATCACTTTTTCTCTGTTATATCTATTGACAAGCTAACCTAAACCTTAGACATGCATACTCAGTATACAGGATATTCTCCTTTACTTGCTCCATGGCTCATAAATGCAAAAGCAATATAGAAATAACCAAAGCCCTATAATCCAGTGGTTGTCTCACTTTGCATGTATATTTCACACCTAACCCATAGGTATGCCTGAGGGTCACCATCTATCTATGTATAATCTCTCACGCACCGGTTAGATTAGAATCTTGAGTTATGCTTGTTTGTATCTTGTTACGAAAACCTGCAGACTACGCTATATAGCATTTTACCTACCTAGCCTGTGACCTATTACCTCTACTAAATATAAAACTGTGAAAGAACTATCGCATACCCCAATGTTACTAATGTCGAAAAAAAGCATGAGGATTGCCGTTGGGGTACCCCATGCAAGTTTGTTATGTTCATATGCACTGCAAAAATAAAGAATTTTAAAAAAAATAGCCGAACTGGAATATTATCTGAGTCAGCTATGCTTTCAGCTCAGCTATCTTGGCCTTACATTTGGATTCTCAATTTAGTAAATAACCCTGTAAACAGTCTGGTTAACTTTGTCAGTGTTAGAACACAGGAGGTGATTTATCAGACGAAGCTGCTTGGGTGATATTGTAGAGAACAGTGCATAATAATGAGAAATCACCATAATAATCAAGGAGAGTGATCTTAAGTATTTGACTCCGAAGTAGCACGTTTTGCCTTGATAAATATCACTTGTTTGTTTCTCCATTAGAGAAACCTTCAATGAATATATTTATTCACAAGGTTAGTGTGCCTTTTATCATTAAGATTACAGCCCCCCCAAAGGGACACTACAGTCACTAAAATAAGTTTAGGTTAATTATTATTATTTATATGCGCCAACAAGGTCCGTAAGGCTGTACAATGGGTGGACTAACAGACAACTATTTGTAACCAAACAAGTTGATCGCGCAGGAACAGAGGGATTTAGGGCCCTTCTCAATGAGCTTTCATGCCAGAGTGAGTGGAGTATAGTGACACAAAAGGTAAGGGTAGGGTAGAAATGTAGGTTGCTAGAATAGTGTTCCCTGAGGACTTAGTATTTTTTTTTGGTGGGGGGAGAGAAGGGTGACAGTTGCAGGAGAGGAAACAAGATGCAGGGAGGTTAAGCTATTAACAGTTTAATTGATAAACTATTTAATTCCCCTATTTTAACCCTTTGAGTCACTGTACCCCACTCCCTCTAGCATGTAAGCTCATCGAGCAGGGCCCTTAACCCCCTCTGTTCCTGTACGTCCAGTGGTCTGTTATGTGTCTGTTATTCCACCCATTGTACAGCGCTACGGAATTTGTTGGAGCTATATAAATAATAATAATAAATATGCTTTCCTGAAGAAGTGAGTTTTCAATATTTTTTTTTAAGTAATGGGGACTGGATGACAGTCTAACGGAGCAGAGGACAGAGTCCCACAGGAATGGTGCAGTCTTGGAGGTGAACATCAGAGGTGAGTGTACGAACATAGATAGACAGGGCCCCCATCAGAAATTCTGGGGCCCCTAACACAGCTCAGGGTCTGGGCACCCGGGGGCCCACCTCTAAGCCTGCCCCCGGGTCTTTCATTAAAAAATCCAGCCCACAGGAATACACACACTCAACCACATGCACTGTTACAAAAGGACACAGATACACACTCAAAGATACACACATACTGACACACACACATGCATACTAACAGACAAATACTGAAACAGACATACACACATATACTGAAACAGACATACATAGTGACACAGAGACACATACTAACATGCATACAGAAACACATGCATACGGACATACAGACACAGACACATACACATACATACATACAAACAGACCTACATACATACAGACAGACCGACATACAGACAGACTGACATACAGGGAGTGCAGAATTATTAGGCAAGTTGTATTTTTGAGGATTAATTTTATTATTGAACAACAACCATGTTCTCAATGAACCCAAAAAACTCATTAATATCAAAGCTGAATATTTTGGAAGTAGTTTTTAGTTTGTTTTTAGTTTTAGCTATGTTAGGGGGATATCTGTGTGTGCAGGTGACTATTACTGTGCATAATTATTAGGCAACTTAACAAAAAACAAATATATACCCATTTCAATTATTTATTATTACCAGTGAAACCAATATAACATCTCAACATTCACAAATATACATTTCTGACATTCAAAAACAAAACAAAAACAAATCAGTGACCAATATAGCCACCTTTCTTTGCAAGGACACTCAAAAGCCTGCCATCCATGGATTCTGTCAGTGTTTTGATCTGTTCACCATCAACATTGCGTGCAGCAGCAACCACAGCCTCCCAGACACTGTTCAGAGAGGTGTACTGTTTTCCCTCCTTGTAAATCTCACATTTGATGATGGACCACAGGTTCTCAATGGGGTTCAGATCAGGTGAACAAGGAGGCCATGTCATTAGATTTTCTTCTTTTATACCCTTTCTTGCCAGCCACGCTGTGGAGTACTTGGACGCGTGTGATGGAGCATTGTCCTGCATGAAAATCATGTTTTTCTTGAAGGATGCAGACTTCTTCCTGTACCACTGCTTGAAGAAGGTGTCTTCCAGGAACTGGCAGTAGGACTGGGAGTTGAGCTTGACTCCATCCTCAACCCGAAAAGGCCCCACAAGCTCATCTTTGATGATACCAGCCCAAACCAGTACTCCACCTCCACCTTGCTGGCGCCTGAGTCGGACTGGAGCTCTCTGCCCTTTACCAATCCAGCCACGGGCCCATCCATCTGGCCCATCAAGACTCACTCTCATTTCATCAGTCCATAAAACCTTTAGAAAAATCAGTCTTGAGATATTTCTTGGCCCAGTCTTGACGTTTCAGCTTGTGTGTCTTGTTCAGTGGTGGTCGTCTTTCAGCCTTTCTTACCTTGGCCATGTCTCTGAGTATTGCACACCTTGTGCTTTTGGGCACTCCAGTGATGTTGCAGCTCTGAAATATGGCCAAACTGGTGGCAAGTGGCATCGTGGCAGCTGCACGCTTGACTTTTCTCAGTTCATGGGCAGTTATTTTGCGCTTTGGTTTTTCCACACGCTTCTTGCGACCCTGTTGACTATTTTGAATGAAACGCTTGATTGTTCGATGATCACGCTTCAGAAGCTTTGCAATTTTAAGAGTGCTGCATCCCTCTGCAAGATATCTCACTATTTTTGACTTTTCTGAGCCTGTCAAGTCCTTCTTTTGACCCATTTTGCCAAAGGAAAGGAAGTTGCCTAATATTTATGCACACCTGATATAGGGTGTTGATGTCATTAGACCACACCCCTTCTCATTACAGAGATGCACATCACCTAATATGCTTAATTGGTAGTAGGCTTTCGAGCCTATACAGCTTGGAGTAAGACAACATGCATAAAGAGGATGATGTGGTCAAAATACTCATTTGCCTAATAATTCTGCACTCCCTGTACAGACTGACTGACATACAGACTGACATACATACAGACTGATTTTGGGGGATGAAAACCTAGATGTGGGACACTTTAGTCCCTAATCTCTAAAGGCGGGGAAAGGGAAAAGAAGATATATATTTTTATTTATATTTACATTTTCATCATGCAGCAACTTCTCAATGCAGTCATCTGGTAGAAAAGGAAAAACATCCAGGTGTGAACAGAGGAACGCAAATCAAAGCCTTCAGAGGTCCCTGCCAGCTGCCGGCAACATGTAGAGCGCGTAATGATGCCTGCGACGGGAGACCCACTGGGCCCTTAACAGACCAGAGGGTGGGAAACACGCTGCAGGTTATCTAACTCTAAGACACAGAGAAACCCATTACACAGCACAATATTAGATCAGAGGGCTCCCGGCAGTTGGAGGGCACACACCAACGTTGTTTATGTACATGTACAACAGCCAAGTTTCATATATTACCAAATATTTCTTGTTATTTTTTTCTTGTTTTTTTTCTTTTTTTTTTTTTTTTTCTGTTACAAATCACTAAACTAAAGTTGACAAATTGTAACTCGCAATATCAGAGAGTATTAAGGTAACTAATACATCAGTTTAGCGGGCAATGGTGGAGAAGTTTAGACCACCATCC